CATGGCCATGGACTGTGAGTGGGGGGACACTGGGGGGGCTTGGCTGGAGGGCTGGGTTGGGGTCCTGGCACCGTGGGGCACGTTGGGGTACCCAGAGCAGCCACAGGACCAGGTGTCGGGCACAGGGCACCGTGATGCATCAGCAGGGTGGGATACATGAGTGGAGGGTCTCAGCTGACTGAGGGGGGTCCCAGCTGATGGTGGGGGGCTGCTGGGGGGTGGGTTGTGGTCCTGGTGCCGTGGGGTGGGTTGGGGTGCCCGGAGCACCGTCAGGAGCAGGCTGGGGTGTCACCGTGGGGTGCTGTGCTGTGGCCATGGGGTGCATGGCTGGTGGGGCTCCTGGCTGGTGGGGGGCTCTCAGGTGATATGGGGGGTCCCGGCAGTGGTGCTGGATGACTCCAAGCGGGTAGCGAAGCGGAAGCTGATCGAGGAGAACCGGGAGCGACGGCGGAAGGAGGAGATGATCAAGTCGCTGCAGCATCGCCCCAACCCCAGCGCCGAGGAGTGGGAGCTGATCCACGTGGTGACAGAAGCCCACCGCAGCACCAACGCCCAGGGCAGCCACTGGAAGCAGAAGCGGAAATTCCTGGTGAGGGGCTGCAGCGGAGGGACCCTGTCACGACCCCCCAGCCGGGGTTTGCTGAGCACCCACACGCTCAGTGCACACGTGGCACCAGCGCTGACAGTGCCAGGGTTTGGGATGTCACTGGTGTCCTTGGGCAGGTGGAGTTGGGGGGGTTGGGATGTCGCTCGGTGTCCTTGAGCTGGTCACCCCCAGAGGGTTCAGGGGTGAGCGGTGACCGAAGGGGACAGCTGTGCCCGTGGGTGGCCCCGGCCGGCCCTGGCCCCGGCCCTGGCCCTGTCACGTAGCTCCCTCTCCTGGCTGCTGCACCCAGCCCTGCCACACGTGTTCCCCGGTGACATGGGGGTCCTGAGGGGGGCACAGGGTCACACTGCACTCCCCCAGCATGGGGGAAGTGGTCACACCACGCCCCCCCAACGCTGCTGTCCATCGTGGGGGTCCCAATAATGTCAGAGCCCCCCCTGCTGTCCTGGGGGTCCTGGGGGGACACATGGTCATACAGCACCCCCATGTGCCACTGTCCACCATGGGGATCCCAAGGGTGGACACAGTTACACCACAGCCCCCAGTGTCCCTGTCTGTTATGGGGGTCTTGATGGGGGACACGGTCACACCGCACCCCCCAACACCACCATGGGGGTCCTGTGGGACACACTCCACACTCCCCAACACCTCTGTGCCCCCCCACAGCCCGAGGACATCGGCCAGTCCCCCATGGCCTCCATGCCCGACGGGGACAAAGTCGACCTGGAGGCGTTCAGCGAGTTTACAAAAATCATCACCCCGGCCATCACCCGCGTGGTCGACTTTGCCAAAAAACTGCCCATGTTTTCGGAGGTAACGGCGGGGGGGGGGGGCCGGGGGGGTTTGGGGGGGGGGACCAGAGCGGGACTGTCCAGGTCTGAGTCACACCAAACCCCCCCAAACTGCCGCCGTGCCTTTCCCCCAGCTGCCTTGCGAGGACCAGATCATCCTGCTCAAGGGGTGCTGCATGGAGATCATGTCGCTGCGGGCGGCCGTGCGCTACGACCCCGAGAGCGAGACGCTGACGCTGAGCGGGGAGATGGCGGTGAAGCGAGAGCAGCTCAAGAACGGCGGCCTCGGCGTCGTCTCCGATGCCATCTTCGACCTGGGCAAGTCCCTCTCTGCCTTCAACCTGGACGACACCGAGGTGGCCCTGCTCCAGGCCGTGCTGCTCATGTCCTCAGGTACCCGTGTGCGCGGGCGTGGGGCGGGCACACTGGTGCCCGGGGAATCGGAGGGTGTGTTGGGTGGGCACCCTCGTGCCCAGGGTCATCAGTATCCTGGGAGTGTGTTGAGTGCCCATCTGTCCTGGGGGTGTGTTAGGTTGGCACCCCCATGCCCAGAGTCCTCAGTATCCTGGGGCTGTGTCAGGTGAGCAGCCCGATGCCAGAGCTCCCCGAACATTTTCAGGGTGTGTTGGGCGGGCACCCCCATGCACAGAGTCTGTCCCGGGGATGTGTTGGGTGGGCACCTCTGTGCCCAGAGCCCCCAGCATTTGGGGATGCATTGGGTGGGCACCCTAATGCCCAGCATCTGCGGTATCATATGGCTGTGTTGGGTGGGCACCCCTGTGCCCAGAGTCTGTGCTGGGGATGTGTTGGGTGGGCACCCTGATGCCAAAGCCCCCCAGCATCTGCAGGGTGTGTTGGGTGGGAAACTGTGCTCCCTTGGATTTGGGGGCAGAGATGGGGTGGGCACCCCAGTGCACCTAGGGAGCTTTGCCAGGAGGTTGTGGGGTAAGCACCCCAATCCCCAGAGCTCTGGGGAGCTGTGCCAGGCTGGAAGGGGTGTGGGAGTGGATACCCCAATTCCCAGTGCTCAGGAGCATGGGGTGGGCTCTGTAATCTGTGGTGTTGAAACCTGGGGCTGCAAAGGGTGGGTGTGGGTTGAGCCCCTCAGTGCCCTGGGGACCCCTGCCAGGCTGATCCGGGTCTGTGGGGTGGGAATCCCAAAACCCAGGGGGTGTGTGGGGCACTCAGCCCTGTAGGAGGTCAAGTCTCCTTGGATGCCAGATTCTTACACGGACAGAGAGTGCCAGGTCAAAGAGGAGGGATTTAAACTAAAAAGAGGAGATTTGGATGAGATATTGGGAAGAAATTCCTCCCTGTGAGGGGGTTGAGGCCCTGGCACAGGTTGCCCAGAGAAGCTGTGGCTGCCCCATTCCTGGAAATGTCCAAGGCCAGGTTGGACGGGGCTTGGAGCAACCTGGGCTAGTGGGAGGTGTCCCTGCCCATGGAAGGGGTGGGACTGGGTGGGCTTTAAGGTCCCTCCCACCCCAAGCCACGCTGTGATTCCACAATGGTTCCATGGTGATGATCCCGTGGTGATTCCCCGCAGACCGGACGGGGCTGATCTGCGTGGAGAAGATCGAGAAGTGCCAGGAGACCTACCTGCTGGCCTTCGAGCACTACATCAACTACCGCAAACACAACATTCCCCACTTCTGGCCCAAGCTGCTGATGAAGGTGACGGATCTGCGGATGATCGGCGCCTGCCACGCCAGCCGCTTCCTGCACATGAAGGTGGAGTGTCCCACCGAGCTCTTCCCACCCCTCTTCCTCGAGGTCTTCGAGGACCAGGAGGTGTAGGGCTGACACCCCCCCCCCCCCCCGGCCCCCCCCAACCCTGCTCTGGCCCCCCCGCCCCCCCAAATCTTTCTCGTCCCCCTATAAGGACAAGGGGATGCTGCGCCCAGGGCGGGGGTCCCCCTGTGCCCCCCCCACGGCCACCCTGCCCCCCCCGCCCCAGGACTTGACGAATTTTGTTTGTTTGCACAGGGAAGGGCCCCGACGGTCGAGCGTTCCCTTTATTGTCCTTCTCTTCGTAGATTATTATTTTTTAAGCATTTATTTCCCTCCCTGAGAGGCTAAAATATTAAACTAACTGCACTTTGGAAGGAGGAGGAGGAGGAGGAGGAGGAGGAAGAGCAGGGGAGGAGAGGAGGGGGCTCTGGGCTGCACAGGGAGAGGCTGCCCCGGCTGGGGGGGGCCGTGGCCACATGCACTTTTGGCCGGGCAGCAATTTTGGGGGACTAGGGTGGGGGGCCAGGACCCCCCCCCATAGCAGGGGCAGGGGCTGGGACCCTCATCCCCATAGTGGGGTGAGGGCCAGGACCCCCCCAACAGCAGGGCGGGGGGCCAGGACCCCCATCCCCCCTAATAGGGTGAGGGCCAGGACCCCTCCCATAGCGAGGTGGGGGCCAGGACCCCCCCACAGCAGGGCAGGGGGCAC